TGCTTAGAATGCGGGAGCTTCCAGGGTTTTGGCCCTCGACCCACCGGGGGCCCTTGGCAGCCCCCTGGCCCCAGCCAATGGTGCTCGCAAGTGCCCTTTCAGTATCAAAAAGAACCCCCCTACCAAAATCCTGGCTACGGGCTTGGGCGCGATACAAGTCCATTTCCATATACAGTATAATATTGCTCTTTGTATTTTTATTGCCCTGTATAAGCTTGGTCCTATTGTGTATTGAGTAAGAAATAATTTAAAAAATTAAAAGGTATTTTCTTTTTTTCTTAAAGGTTCCTTCGTTGTTCTCCATTTGATGAGTACCAGGTCTGGAAGCGACAGGTTGACAACAATCAAAGTAAGAACCAGTTAATTCCTATAACACCCTCTAAACTTAAAAATGATTGCATAGGTTTTTTCTGCCTTCTATTATATTGTTTAAATAAGAAATATTGAATGATGGATAAATATCCCATATTAATGTTCATAGCATGTTTATAAGGTTTATATTCATTGTTATTTTTTCTAATGCTAATTAGGACGTCTAAACATACTAACTAAAAGCCTGCTCTTACGACGAACAAAAGATCACAAGAATCAGGATGGAAAACCACTTGTAAGTTTATATAATACTTTTTAAATGTTTGTAGCAATCATCAATCAATCACCAATCAATAAATCAATCAGTCAATTAATTGGTTAATCATTATTAATCATACAATTAAACAATCATTCAACCAATCATTCAGTCAGTTGATTGGTTAATCATTTTTAATCAATCAATTAAGCATACAATCATTCAATTAATCATTCTTTATTCAAGAAATCAACCAACCGTCCTATCACTCATTCAAATCAATAAAATAACCAACCAACCAATCATCCATTCAATCAATCTATCAATCAGTTAAATATCTAATCAATCATTCAATCAATTACTCAATCTAATATGATTGTCATCTGAAACTGTAGAGTAATGTATTCTTAATGAAATATATTTTGTTTCTTCTCATTTTTTAAATTTTTCCTAGGTATCTTTACCTGAACGCACATGTACAACACATGAAATTGATTTGTCAGATGATGAAAGAAAAATATACACCAACATGTTTGAAGAGTCTAAGTAAGTAAACACCATCATCATCATCATCATCATCATTTTTGTCATCGTCAACAACATCATCGTCGTCATCATAAATACCGGGATTGTGTATGGCATGCTTAACTTTAGTTCATAGGTATCAACCTGAGAGATTTAAAATGCGTTAGTGACTACACCAGTTGGCTGGGGAGGGGGCTGGATCCAGATGCGTGGCCCGTGGCGCTCCGACGATCTGAGCATTTTAAGCTCTTTTAAAACAATTTCAGGGAGGGTTTGTTGACAATACAGGTACATAAGCAAAAATATTTTTAATAAAGCCAGTACAACAATTCAAGGTACGTTTAATTTGAGCACCCGAACTATTTAGACACACAAATATTTCTTTACTGATCAATTTTTTGTAACACGTTAGTGAAATAAGTATTCACGTAAATACTGTACTCTCTAAAGACTTACTGCATGACCGTTTTTTTAATATTTTTAATAAAACCAATTTGTTCTAATTTTAAATACATTTTCCCCAGAATTTGTGATAATTTGTTATCACGCATAGACTTGTGCTAAATGCGTAACAAATTTAGGATCACACATTTGTGTTTCTGCAAAATTCATGTTTCATCCAAAATCACTTTGAAATGCGGGACCATTCCACACGATGCGAGGCAGTTGGTAACTATGGTAGTTAAACAATTGCTATTAACCCTATAACCTTTGTATATCCGTTACAATATTTAAGAAAATGTTAAAAACTTTTTTATTTCCTTGTGATTAGGAATTGACTAGGACTAGCTGCCAACATTACTCGAGCACCTGTAAATACTGCTTGTTGAGCCTTGCCGGTGGTGTTTGGTTTTGGGTCTAGAATATTTAGAGCTTGTTTTTTATATTTTTTCTTGAGGTCGAAGATCAAGAAGTACTTAAACCAACATGGTGAAACTAGTAATACTGGAGACAGCAAAGGCAGCAGCACGAGTGAAGGCAGTAAGAACAGCAGCACAAGTAATAGCATCCAAGGTGTGTCACAAACTGATGCTGGACATGCTCAAATTGCCAACAGACCAACCGCTAAGGCTGCTGAAAAGGTGACGGGTACCACGATCCTTGTGATCTTGCTTCGACTGCGACAATGCTGCAGCCATCTTGGACTTCTAAAAGAGGTTAGTTTGAGGGATGTTTTTTAACTTTAATTTATATACTCTATTTTATTTTTATTATACATTTTGTTCTTGTAACCCTAACAAATATATTTTCTAATGTTTCCTTTGGTTCATTGATCATGAGTTGATGATCAGGAATAATTTTAACTCTTCGCCAGATTTCATGTCCACTTTACATTTGTAGAATATTTCAGAGGAGCATTTTGAATTTGACGACAGCATTGAAATGTCGCTGGTTGACCAAATGATGGATTTGACCTTAGGGGCGGGAGAAACTAAGGACCAGGGAGAACAAAAGAAAGCAGTTAAATTTGACCAATCGTTTCAAAGTACTAAGGTCAGTAATGATGATGATGATGAGAAGTAGGATGATGGATGGTGATGGTGTTGATGTATGAGGACGATGATGACAAGGAAGGGTGAATATGATGATGAAGAGAACTAGAATTGGGGTGATGAAAATGATGTTAGTGATGTGGATGATGATGATTATTATGATGATGATTTATGTTGATGTGATGAGGATGAGTATGATGGTGGTGGCCAAAGCGATGGTGTGGGTGGTGGTGGTGGTTGTGGTAGAGGTGAATGTGATTGTGAGGGTGTTGGTGGTAATGGTGATATCTCTTATATTATGTCAGTTGTGAGAAAGCCATTTGAGATTCTATCTAGATCTCAAATTCAAAATTGTTCACAATTTTAACATTCTATAAGAATAAGTCAGTATTGGTACATTTTGATGATAATAATACTCGAGCTGATTGTAGACGTTCATCTGTTCAATTTTGCAATTTTTTGGTATGGGGAAAAAGAAAATACTCTATCTTAATAATACTCAAGCTACTGAGATTGATGATTATAGAAAGAATATAAATAATAACATTGGCATAACAATGTGGTGGATCTGTAACTTGATGGTTAAGTTACCTTGTTTCAAATTCCAAGAGCCTTGGTTCAAATCCATTAAAACTCCTAGCAAGAAATTGTAATTTTAAAAACCTTGAATCTCATCTAACACAGGTGAAAGAAGTGATGAGAAACCTGCAGGACATTCGTAAAAGGTCACCAGCAGGTCAACCCATGAAGAGTGTCATCGTCTCGCAGTGGACCAAAATGTTGGATATTGTAGCGCATCATTTGACCGAGGCAGACTTCAAGTACTCCACCATACAAGGAAACGTATCAGCCAAGAAACGGGCTGAGCTTGTGGAGGATTTTAACACAAATGCACGTGGGGCGCAGGTCATGCTTGTATCTTTACGTGCCGGCGGTGTTGGACTGAATCTGATTGGTGGAAATCACCTATTTGTTCTGGATATGCACTGGTTAGTATGACATATATCAATTATTGATGATGATAATAATTGTAATATTAATAATAGTATGGGTGTAATTTGAAAGTATTGCTGTTCTTTTGAACATTATACTAATTATAAGCTTCCATAATTGACCACACAAATTTTAGATGAGTTGTTTCATCAATGGAATTAAGAAAAAATACAACAAAATCATATATTTTTCAAGGTCTACATATTGGGTTCTTTATCGAAGCTAAAAAGATAAAATTTTGTATAGAATGATTTGTAATAATTGAAGATATCACGCTTATTGTATGTGATTTAATTTGTTAACAAAAGTGTCATCTGATTCAGTGTGTATGTTTAAGTTGGGTCTCATAACTAACACTATATGAACAAGCTTATTATTAGCATTATATTCCTTTAAAAATTACTCAACTGGTTTACCTAGGAATCCGGCTCTCGAACAGCAAGCCTGTGATCGCATCTATCGTGTCGGTCAAAAGAAAGACGTTTTTATCCACAAGTTTGTTTGCAAAGACACGATTGAGGAAAAGATCCTTAGCCTCCAGAAAAGCAAGGCCTCATTGGCAGAAAATGTTCTATCAGGGTGAGTCATCAACTTCTAAAATGTGGCATTATCTTTTCCATTAATATATCCAGAAATTTTTCTTTAAATCATTAATATTTTCAGTGTGTTTGAGAAAAGTGGACATAGTAGCATAAGAGTTGTAGATTCAAGACCATCATTCAGTGATTGGAATTTACTATACATACTCACAAGTCATTAGAATGTTGTATATACATGGTTAATGTTAATCCGTAATTATTTGATGTGCTGAGCAAAGAAAGTACTGCACTGGAAAGCAACCGTTAATGCAAAAAGTACTTGCTATGTCTATGCCAAATTATGCAAATCCCAACACGCTGATTGGTCGACTTGGCTTTACCCTAACCTTAAAACATAACTCTGCCTATCTTAATGCACTACAGCATGACGTGAGATCGGCGTAGATGCAGCGACTTTGTTAATGCAATGGATGGTTTTGCTAAGTCCAGCCTCTTGGGTATTGATGCTAAGGTCTCACAAAACGACAGCCATTCGTAGAGAAACATGGCTGAGTGGGCAGTCATAAACGTAAGCTTACAGTCAGACTCCGGAGGAAAACAAATTTTTGATATGTTGTAGAACTGATTTTTCTAAGACAGAAAAAAGTTGTTTGCCGAAAAACTGGGGAATGGTGAACAAGATACAGATTTTTTAATATTTAAAAACTGGAGGAAAAGGGGGGCGTAACGTCCCATTTTTACACCTTTAAGTTTTTGTGGAAAATGTGTGTGTTCCTGGACCTGCCTATTGAAGAGATGTTCTGATTGGTCGGTTGTTAAGTTTGATTGACACTCTGGAATGGTCCATTTATTGGTCTGTTTATTTTTATCATTCTTATACACTATGAATGCACAGCTGTTGTTAGGTTTTACCTGGAAGTATCATCAGAGAACTTGAATATCGTGTTGCTGTAATGTTTGACCACCACCAATCCAATTGTGTGTCCTGTCATACGAGTCACACGAGTAAAGCCACTTGTAGTATTAAGCCCTAAGGTTAGATATTGCACAGAAGCCACGCGACTCAAACCATTGCTAGCATCTAGGCCTAAGGCTAGGTATTTCACACAGTCCAAACAAGTAAAACCATTGCTGGCATCTAAGCCTAATGCTAAAGTATTTCACACAATGCATGCTAGTTAAACCATTGATAGCATCTAGCTTTCATCTTTAAATCTCATTATACACTGACGTCTTGTTTTTTGTTTTCATCAGTGATTAGCGAAAACAAAAGATTGATAAAAATTGTGTTTTGTAAGAGTGAACGGTGTTTTTATATTAGGTTTTATTACAGAAAATAGTATTATTTTTTATATAATTAGGAATTATTTTATTTTAAGGTATGGTTTTTATTATTTTTAATACTTAATATTAATAGCATCATCATTATCATTATTATTATTATTATTATTATTATTGCTCTCTAAATTGTAACTTTATACAAATGATTGAAATAGAAAATATTAGCATCTTCAATTAGGGTTAAGAGGATAGTGATGATGGTGTTCTAGATAATAATGGTAATGATAATAATATTAATGGTCGTAAAGATCTTGATGAAGATGAAGTGGTTAGCATTCTGCATTTTATATCTGTTAACAAACCTGAGCTGCTTAGCAATCAACATGACTTAGCAGTTTTTAGTTGACCTAGCATTCTCTAGGTCAGTTTGTTTGTTCTGGTATTTCCTCTAATTAGTTATCCATTGACACTTGATAAGGTAATGTAGCCAGTAAAATATTTACTGTTTATTATTAGACTCTTTCTGATTAATAATTGGTTTCGGTTTCTAGTGCTAAATCCTGACCTCAAGTAGCTGTCAAAATTCATGTCCAAAATTTCAAATCTATAAATAATTTTTTCATCCAAAGATAGACCACTTTGACGTCATCCACTTTGCAATTGATGCAAATAATACAACATACTTTAAAAGCAGAATGTTATTACACGAAAGGTGGCTTGTTGGGGAATGTTGTCAGTATGTGAACTTATCTTTGGAGTACACAGGCTGTGTTTATAGTATCACATAATGTCCGATATGAAGAAATTCTGTTTCCGTATGTAGATTGAATTCCAGATTGAGTTTTCTCCATATCTTCAGTCTAGTTCTAGTTAGAATCTTCTAAGAATATATTTGCTTTTCACCATGCTTTTACTTTAAATGTGCCTAGATCATATTCTTTAGAGGTCCATTTTTATTGGTCAGATTTCTAATCATTTAATATCTTGTTAGTTGATATGATTCTTCCGATGTGCTTGGATTTAATTGTCAATTAGTGATAATTTTATTGGATGTTACTTAACGGGGATGTATGCATCCATGGAATGTGATAGTGTTGCTGTGCAGTGTAATGATCACAATTAGATGGGAAATTAGCCAATCAAATTTAGTAGGTCACTGCACTTGTTAGGGACTATCATATTACAATAACACTGGATGAACAGGGCCTTGATAGATGAATGTATGGATGGATGAATTGATGGATAGATGTATGGATGGATGAATTGATGAATACAGTATAATATGGGTTGATAGTTGGATTGATTGATGGATGGATGAATGAATGGATAAATACAGTATAATATGGATTGATAGTTGGATGGATGGATTGATTGATGGATGGATTGGATACAGAAATGGGTTGGATAGATGGTGGGTGGATACATGGATGAATGAACGTATGCCTGCATGTATGGATGGTTAATGTATCAATGGATTGATGGATGAATGTATTGATGAATAGGTGTATATATGAATGGTTGAATGAATGGACAGACAGTTGAATGGATGGATGGATGATTTGATGGAATATTATATCATTGTTATTATTTTTATGGAAGTGGGGGAGGTTTGTTTACTGACAAATTTCATAGTGTTTTACTGAAGTATTTTATTAATCTAATCTTCTTTTTTTTTTCTTTTTTTTTTCAGGAACAAGTCCAAGAAACAGAAGCTGACATTGCATGACCTGCGACTATTATTTGGTGTGCATTGAGATCTCTCTCCCCACTCTGCATATGTCATGTCTTTAGCGTAGAATATGACAACAAAACAGTGTACAGCACATACATAAATTCTCAATATTACATTTGTAGCAGACGATGAATGAGAATTCCCTGCCAGAAGCTCCCAGCAATGGCCTCTGCAAAAAATAATCACTGTGAATGGATCAATGTATACAGTATTGCAAATAAAAATATCTTTCTTTCTTTATTTATATTTTAAGAGGAAGTCTCATTCAGTGAAGCTGATTTTGTGGTCCTCATATCACAACAAACAAGTTACAAATAGATACACAAAGCATGAGCAAACAGCAAGAACACTACATTCAAATAACATGACAATTAACTGTAATATTCATGCATTCTTTTATATATTTAAATATTATATTATATTATTTAACAGTGTAAAACATCAATAACAATAATAATAATAATAATAATAATAATAATAATAATAATAATAATAATAATAATGATAATAATAGGATAGGAATAACATTTAAAATACAACATCTTTTTATATGGCTAATTTAAAATGTAAAATGATTTTAAATTGGCTAGAAGCTATGTTTATTCTCAGATATTAAATTTATGGAATAGTTTGTTTTAAATAAACTATAAATTATGAAGAAATGTTATTTGTTGTAAAAGAGAACCTTGGAATATTGAAGGATTTGAATCATGGTATGAAAGGGCAAGCATCCTAAATGGCAGCCTTTACTTTTTCTACTTGCACATGTCCTCATATAGATATTATGGAATCATGAATGCTTGATTTTCTTAAATATTGTATAAAATAGTTGTACAAGGGCTATCTTGAATAAATAGATATTGACAGTAACTTTTTGTTCAGTAAGATGCAAATGTGAAGTAACCAGGATTCTAAGGAAGGCTTACTTATAAAATTTAGGGTCCAAGGGGTTTTGGGGCCACCTAGTAGGTTCAAGAGAGAGCTCTGATGGGGTAAGGGATATTCTCTGGAGCAATTTAGCATGAAAATGGTGTCATTATTATTTTGAGTAGTGAGAGAGCCTCCATAATATCTACTATACAGACTTTTTGTTCAATATTTATTTGGCAGAATAAATCAATGAATATTGAAACATGTTGAACTTGTGGTATTCTTTCTCGTTTATATATTTTGCGGGTATTTTTTTTGTATATAGTACAGGGCTATAGGAATCACCCCAACCGCACCGGCTTTGGCCAGGCCAATTCTCATATTTGTATTACTTTAAAAATTACATACTTTTACCCATAAATTATATTAATAATTGTTGCACCTCAATGTCATTCGAATGTTTCACCATATACGTGTTTTGTAGTGCACTATTAGCCTATGCATTTCAAGCTCCTGTTAGGAATCAATTTAAAACTTTTTTTAAATCTTTGATTTTAGCAAAATTTGCTGACCTTTGCCCCAACCATGCAGAGCATGGGTATGTTATCTATCGCCCACTAGGGGAAGTGGCTCTATAGGTTGCCAGATGCTATTTCCAGGCATCTGGGGGGGGGGGGGGGGGGGGGGGTGGGTGGTGTTGTTTTTTTGGTTTTTTTTGCACAATATTTTTAAGGGTTGGAGCTTAGTGGAATGGCTCATTATCTCCTCTGTAGTATGGGAGGTAGAGCTGTTGGCTCAGTATCCTTTTATAGTCCTTTGTAAACATAATATTTACATTAAAATAGCATTGTAAGAGTCGGTTCAGAGTAGAAACTGTAGTAGTAAACTGTAAACAATATATTAGATACAGTAAAAATACAGATAAAATTATCCCCCCACAAGTCACCCCCAGTATTTCTAATTTATTTATAAAATAATAATTTATATATTAAAAAGTGACTAAACTACATGGTAAAAACTACCCCCGCCGAACACCGTCCCAGTATTTATGAGAGAACTTTCTATTGTTTTTGTTTTATTATGTAATGTAAGTCTACGCAAATCAGTAAGAAGAAAATGTCATATAAGTGCACTTCTCAAAAAAGGTCTTTATATTTGAAATCGGAAAACATCAGTGTCGGCGCCATCAGCGGAGGTGTGGGAGATGATCTGGGGAAACGGGATTTCGTAAAAAAATTCGTAGCGAACACTACTTTTACAGTCTCAGGGTGAAATTTTCTGGCATGAATTGTCGAGAAATTTGGATCTTCATATCGGGAAATCTATGGCGCCGTCACTACATTACGTCCGATTGGTGCTGTGGGAGGGCCTGGTGGTGAGGTTTCGTCGGATCCACGCCATATTGTCGAAATCCAGTTTGCCGAATCCCAGATTGTCTAGTCCACTTTGCCGAAATCCCGTTTTGCCGAAACCCATTTTGAAGGAAGTCAGTCAAAAGCATTGAAACATTAAAAACAGCATAACATTCGTCATTCCTACTGTGACTGCGTCTGTACGAACTGGTTGAGCCAGCGGAAATTAAGGGCATAGACATGTTCTTTTTCACTCTCAAAGAAGGAAGAAAATTACACGATTTATCGGTAAAAAGAGAAACTATCTATTATTATCTATTGTTAAAGAGGAAAATTCTAGAATTGCGAAATTGAGAATTTAGAAGCCTTCCAATGCGAAGTGCTACGCGATCACTGTTTATTCGTATAATAAATAACTGCTTATAGTTATTAGTTTTGTCTTATTCTGTAAATCAAACGATTAGTATTTAGCTATCAGCCAAAAACTTAATTAAATAGGCCTGTCAGATAAAATACGGTCTTATAAGCATAATTTATAATAAGTGTATAAAGTTTAAGATAAAAATATGTATACCTAAATGAAATAAATAAATTAATAATAATAATAATCTACAATTATACACCCGAATCAAGGGGCTAACTTGAGCCTCTGTCATGGTCCCGCCATTAAACAAAAATCCATGTGTTCGCATTGGGAGTTTTTTAGGGGTTTTTTATACAACAATATTTGAAATTGGCAATCAAAATAACGTTATATAGTTATGCAAATTATCATTTTTGGTCCCGGATCGGACGATTTCGTCGAATAAACGCCCTGAGGCGTTTATGTTGAGAATGGTTTTTGCGGGTGAGTTTATTCGACGGAGATTCGAGGCAGGCATTTATTTATTTATTTTTTTTTTGTATAAATGGATAGTAACTGTATATACTCAAACGCTCCGTAATTCCACTGTAATTAATATGTAATTCTACTGGAGTAAAACATTAATAGAAAGTGTTGGGAATGATGTTTCCATTAGATCTGTTTACAGTCAAGGGGGAGTTTATTCGAGGAAAAAAATATACGCCACGGGGTGTTTTCGAAAGAGGCGGCGTTTATTCAAAGCGGAGCGTTTACACGGGTACAAATACGAGAATGTAAATATGGCTCCCCCCTGATCCACCCATCATGTTTTCAAAAGCACAGTATGCTGTACGATGGTGACGGCAAATGATTCGGCAAACTGGGTTTCGGCAAACTGGTTTGTCATGATTTCGGTGAACAGGATTCGACAAACTGGGTTTCGGCATAGAGGCCATTAATTCGGCAATCATGGGTTTCGGCAAACTGGATTTTGACAAACTGGTCGGATACCGTTTCGGCCCCAGGGCTAGACCAATTCAAGGGTGAACGCTAATTAGGGTGATCGCTGAACTAATATTTGTAGATTTAGCCTGGTAGGGCACTACTGTCCTTGGCGGCAATTTTCCTTCAGATACCTGGTTGGTTGTGCACCTGTCTCATAATATCCAAATTACGGTTGAAGCAAGGGTGTATGTGAACTACCGGAACTGTGTCTAGACACATCGTCGCAAAAAGATCTTCTAAAATATTGAAATTTGGAATGGTGTTGTTCTAAGTAAGAAAATATACAGGTAAGTAGAGAGTGTACCATACTTTAGTTGTACAAGCCTGTATGCCTCCATGGTGTTAGACTTAATTGCATTATCCATGGTTGTGTTGTTGTTCAGGCCTACATTTTCAGACTGGAGACTGCGCTCTAAAATTGTTTTGAGTCCTTTTCAACAATGGCATTAAAGCGGAATATCTGAGTGAAAATGTAAACAGTAAAAAACAGCTAAAGATTTGTTGTGTAATGACATACCGTATAGTCGTAGGCACATGTGTTTGCAACCTACATTCAACAATGTAAATCTAAGTACCGGTACTCTTTAAAAGTAGGCTAAGTGAAATAATTTTAATTAATTTAATAAAGTGTAATAATATTTATATAGTGACTTTAAAACAATCCGTGGGTCGTAAAATGCGTTTTAAGTTAAATACAGTAGGCCTATTATAACAATCGTTAAATATATGAATTCATGATCTTTAATGCCGTTAATGTTCTCAAAATCATTGTCTGTATATACATTCTATAATTTTTCTATCTAAATCATTTTAATTAATTTAAATAAAGTGTAATATTATTTATATAGTGACTTAAAAACGATCCATGGGTCATAAACTTGCTTTGATTTAAATTTTAAAAATTTGAAATTTAAAATAAATCTTGATGTATTTATACAGTTTAATATATTTCCTGCATTGTATTCGTGTATATATCTGTCTCTTATACACATCTAGATGTGTATAAGAGACAGATGTAGGCCTATACACATACATACATACATATACATACATACATGTATATAAATCAAGATAGGATGTAGGGAAAATCTAAACCGTCTTTCGAAATGCTATATAAATAAATATATAAATAATAACAGTGCTCAGATAGCAAAATAAGATGTAATGATCATACCAAATGTGGAGGGATCACCTACAACTCCAGGTGCCGTTAAGGGGAAGAGCAGGTTGGACCGCAGCTTTGTTATTATAGGACGATACAGGGGTCCGATAGAGTATTGGTTAAAATGTTTAATATTCGCTTTCAAGTTTTATTTAAAAAAAAAAAGAAAAATAATGTGTATTCAGTACATTTTTGACTGTCTTAAAAATTTGGACCTTGTCGATTTGGGGTGGGATGTTGGTTAGGGTACTCACCCACTCATATTAAAATAACGCTTTATTAACATAGTACACTTTACTTAATTTATTAAATCAATCAAACAATCAATTTTATTTTCTTAATTTGTATTCCAACACCTCATGAAGGTATGAATGTCATAAAGTTTCCAAAAAGTGTTCTTAATCTAATGAGATTTATAATTAATTATAGGCCTAAATTAACACAGATGACAAAATGAAAATAGTTTAAATGTATTTCTCACTAGTTCAATCTCTTTCAGTGTTTCAGGTCAAATCTACCGATCCAGCAGTGTGGGAAGTCGATGTACAATAATTGTCAGCGGAACACGATGTGTATTAAATTGCCGGAACAAAAGATGCTATCAATAGCCAGATTGAGGTCTTAATTCTAGAAATAATCGTGCGCGGATATTTAATAGGATTTATATCACTGGATCGCCGGAATTTAATCAAAATTGCCAATTATGTTTCTTATACAACGAACAAGAAATTCTCTAACGATATTACATACTTAATTATATTTAGGCCTAAGCATTATTATATTATATAAAACTAGAATCTTTATATCCTATTTATATTACGTTTATATTGTTCTAATGTAACATTTCCGAGTATGTAAGAAATAAAATTAAACTGTAGTGTAATTTATAATACATCATTGTGTGTACTTCCTTTGGCGTAATTGCATTAATAATAATAATATATATTTCATGATTATTAATAAAATAATCGAATTAAATATATTATAATCACTTCGAATTCGAATATAGCACTATTACAGCCTACTATATCTTATAAACATTCTTTCCAAATATATTCACATGATAGCAACAAAGTTCGAAACTTTCCAGAGCAAGGTGCTGTCGAATTTTACAAAACAGGAAATGACGTCGGTTGCTAGGCTACAGATCATGCATATTCAGTAACACCTGTGCTCATTAGACTAACAATAAAAACTTTTAGCTCAGTTTTGACAAAATCGACCAAAAAGATTTTATTGTTAGTCTAATTAGAACAGGTGTCACTCAATATTCATGATTATGCATGAGCTTGTTGCTTAGCAACCACGTCATTTCCGGTTTTATGTTTTTGTTGAGGGCGTTCTCGAAAGAATTGCTATTTTAATAATTAAAGTAGCACAAAAGGTGAAGCAATTCTTCACTTTTGGTTTAAGCTTATAATAAGGATATTTTAGCTCTTTAATTCATTACAGTAATCACAGACATTAAATAAAATGAGAAGAGATGCACAATTCCATTTAATATTTATTTTCAAGCACTGAAATCAAGTTGGGATATGTATAGGCCTACATTTTATAATAAATAGACCTGATTTTAATCCTCAAAATGTTATATCTTAATACATGTCTATATTCTTTACAACAAACGGGTTACTTTATTAATAAGATAAACATTAGCAGTAATAATACAATATTGATAAACATACAGCCTACAAGAATTAATACATATTGCTAACATTGTTTTGTAGATTTTTGCAGAGAGGCAAACATTTAAAAAATAAAATTCACACTATATTTGAATTAATTTCATATCCAGAAGCTTGTTGAGTGACACAATTTGTGGCTATCTATGAATAATTGGTAAGTTCTGTTGCCCTTTCAATCCGGAAATTCTTTCCTGATAGCTGTGGCTTCTTTGTCTACATCACTGGAATAAAAAAATATTGAGAAAAGATTAAGAAAGAATATAATGGAGTATCATCAAAACATAATATATAAATAAAAACAATTGCAGATCCAGGAGTTTGAAATAGAGGGGGCCCACAGGGAGAAACTTTGCCAAATGAAGGGTTCCCACCACCACCTCAGCCCCACCATGGTTGGGGCAGAAGTAAGAAACTTTTTTGATTATGGCACCTCTAGATGGCCAGAATTGGCACTCTCAGATTTTAAATTTTAATGTAATTTTCTTTTTTTTTTCTCCTCCAATTTTTTTCCCTTAGGCTGGCTTCCCCCCACCCCCTTAAATATGCTACTGAAAAATTAATGAACACCTTAACATTATCGTATTCAGTTATCGCAATGGACAATGCTGCTGATACAACGTAATAGTGCTTCGCAATTCTTATCATATCAGCATTATCATATTAAATATTAATTATTTTTAGGGCCTATCATCATATTACGAAATGATGTGAGGATTATTAAATAGGCCTACATGATATTGGGTAGGACAAGTAGATCGCAATAGCGCAAACAAATTATTAGTATTCCGATTGTCATGGGTAAATAAAATTTATACAAATCATCATATTACGGAACGATGTGAGGATTAAATACATGGTATTGGGTAAAACTAGTAGATCGCAATAGCGCAAACAAATTATGTTACCATTCTGATTATCATGGGTAAATAAAATTAATAAAAAGTGTACTACCGTATTCGATAAAAATGAATATATAGAATTATAAATACAGTATATTCAAACAATAAACGTAATACGGTAACTATATCTTCATACAAACATTTTTTATGATATAGGCCTAATATTTTTTGAATGATTAATTCGATGCTCAACATGCACAAGCAAGATAACAAATGGATTGAGACAAAGAAAAGTAAAAATTACCGAGCATCAGGAACGCCCATTTCTAACGAGGTCCAATTTAAATATAGGCCTATGCTTGTCAGTCATGAGCTGAAAGATAAACAAATGTATTTCACATTGTAGGCGCTTTATTTAATTATTATTAATATCATTATTATTCTTATTTATTAAATTTATTTTTATTTGTTAAACCAGGCTTAACAGGCCCCAAGCTGTAATTACTGTAAATAACGTTTCTTTAGCCAGTTTCTTTGATGGTTTTAGCGAGTCACTTGGAATGTATGTTGTTGTTAAATGGAATGCAGCCATGTTAGTGCATGCTTCTGTCGAGGAAATTGTCAATGCCTTCAATGCGGCTGCCTAACAAACTTAGTCAAAGTAACCAGAGAATGATGACAAAATTCCCATTTAACTAATGAATTAACGATGCAAAATGTTCAATGCTGTACTTACATTTGTTATTAATTGTAAAGTCTCCTTCGTAGTCCATTGAGTAATGTTTACATGTAGAACGCCACCTGGAGTGGTATAAAAACAATTAATTATTCTTTTTCTAATTCGCCATTCCTTTATGACGATGAGGATGATGAGGGTGATAATAATAATAAATAATAATAATAATAATAATAATAATAATAATGATGATGATGATGATGATAATAATAATAATAATAATAATAATAATAATAATAATAATAATAATAATAATAATAATAATAATAATAATAATAATAATGGTGGTGGTTCTGATGATATTGATGATGTTGATGGCGATGGATGATGATGGCGATGGTGGTTATGATGATGTTGATGACGGTTGATGATTATGATGATGATGGCGACTCCGATGGAATCAGTATATAGGCTGTTATGTGACACAAAGGTATTTTGGTCAAGCCGGCCCTAATTGCTTGCAATTAAAATTAATCACCCTTTTAAAGTGAGGAACATTCATTTTTTAAAGTATGTATGTGCTATTTCCCGGCAGAGGAGCCATTTTTTTAAAACCATGGTGTTGTGTCCGCCCCTTAAGGGGACCGGGTAGTGGCTCTACTGGTTACCAGCATGGGCGCAGATCATGGGGAGACGGGGGAACACGTCCCCCACATATTTTTAAGGAGGTTTTGGTAACACTCACTTTTCGACCGAAACGTAATTTCAAAAGTAAAGAAGTTGCCTAAAAGTGGTTGAATTGAACTGCATAATTAATGACCCAGGTTTTAACGAAAGAGCGCTGTACAGCCAAAGTAGAGTACGGTACTGTACATCTTATCTTTTAGCAAGATACCGCGTGCCTTTATAATTTGCGAAGTATGAGAAAAAGTATAAGATTGGTTTTCGGCACACGAAGTAGGTAAATTAAAGACATCAAAGACAATTAAGTATATTATTACCATTTTCTATGGTACAATACAGAAGTTAATTAGATCTCTATTATTGCCAAAAATTGCAGATAAAAGATCATGGTGATGTGAGGATGATGAATTTTACTATATAACAGTGTCAATTCAGGGGTGGCGCCAGAATTTGCCCGACGGGGGGCGGGGGCGAGGTCCCCGACGTAGGGTCCAAATTTCAGCGACGAAAGCAAAGTGGGCGTGGTCGAGCTTCGATTAAAAGGTTCCGAAAATGGTCCTCCGGGGCGAAGCCCCCAAATATTTTGACAATTCAGGGGTTTCAAAGGCTTATTTAATCAATTTTAGAGTCTACTAATATGTAAAAAAAATGCATATAATTTTTTTTTCTCCCCGTCGAATTGTGCCTTTTGACGGGGGGGGGGATGCCCCTTACAACCCCCCCCCCACTTTTAGGGAGGTAAAAAAAGAAAGAAAAAAAATGATAACCTAGAACGCCTCAAATGTTATTTTCGCGGGGGCATGCCCTCGGAAAAAATTTCGGACCCACTAGGATAGTGTTGTCTCGATCGACCCAACTTTCGGCCCCACCCCACACCCCCTTTTGGACATCTCTGGATCCGCCCCTGAAAAGTTAATGAGAAAGTTTCTGGCGCTTCATTTTGACTATAATGGTGATGTGATGATGAATTTTATTAAAGAGATTCCTTTTCTGCCATCTAGAGGTACTATTTCCTCAAATTTTCGCACCTCATCCCAACCATGGTGGGGCTGAAGTGGGTATGGACTCTTCCCCATCCCGCTCTTATAATGGCCGAAAATGCTTCCGACGGCTATTTAGTACTCGAAATACAATAACATTTGAAGAAGACATACGATAAAGAAAATTATATTAATGGCGATGGTAATAATCAGATGATGATGATAATTATGACGATGATTGTAACGTTTTTCTAAATATTTCTTTTTGGTTAAATTCATAAACATTCTATTGAATCAATAATGGAGTTATTTCCTCTGATGATATAACCATGTCCATGTTATAACGATAATGATAATATAAAAAGAATAAAGAATAATTACGCTAATAGATATGATGGAAACAGGTTAATATACAATCCTTATCAATTAACTGGTAGAATGCAACAGGGCCTGAAGCAACGTTCAGCTGTTCGTCACATTAGTTCGGGAGTGATGATGTTTTATCATCTCGGATATTGTTTATACAACTGACGAGACGAAGCACGCAGTTGCGTAGGTGTTGATAACCCCGTGAGCATACGCGACGGGGTCACTGTAGCATCTTTGGGATTGTATTCATTACCCAACAGATATAACAATTATGTCCAAAGTTTTATCTAATAGGCTACATTATAGGCTTAATTCTGACATAATACATCTCAACATTAATGCTATGAAAATTATGTTTAACAAGGTTAGTTCAAACATAGTCGGTATAAAAAAAAACAGAAAGGTATGAGCTCACATTTTTTGTCGAAATTTTATCCCCTTCCCATTTTCCGGTTGTTTTGTGTCCTATGGCACATACGGATCACAAAAGTACTATCCACGTTTCTAAATGCAACGTAAAACTCTGTTAAGCTTAAATAAGTAATTAATTCAGACACTACTGTATAGTATAGGCCTATTAAAGGAGGCTGAATTCTGGCATAATTTACATTTAATGCTATGGAAATGATATTCAACACGGTATAATCGGCATTTTCATGGATCCTTGGGTACATTAGTACAGCTGTTCCCAACCTGGGGTCCACAGACCATTTTGGGGCTGAAGTGTTTTTTTTTTGTTTTGTTTTGTTTTTTTGTTTTTTTCGAATTACATGATCCGTCACTGTTTAACACTTTTTTTTTTTTAATTAACTCATGGGATATCTAATTAATACACTATAATTCACAGTATCCAATGCTAGGAAAATGATGTTGAACACGGTTAATCACATTATCATAGGTATTTTCATACCATAGTGTGGTTTGGTATCATAGTGTAAGAATCAGTCGAAAAGCGACTAGGCCTAGGTGAAAAATAGCCCAATTCTGACAAAAACGCTAATGGTTTTTGTGGAAATTGGACATTTTTGTAAATGCCATTTAAAAGTTAGTTTTTTTTAAGCTTAAATAATATTAAGATATCTAATTATGCTATATGCTTATACAGCTTCATCCATCTAATAATAGACCTACAGTACTAATAAAAATGATGTTGGACAAAGTTAATTCAAACATAATCGGTATTTTCATGATCTTTGGGTACCACAATATAAGAATCAGTTGAAAAAGGGCTAGGTGAAATATCCAATTTTGGCAAAAATGTTTTTTTTTCTGTTCTGAGTCACCGTCACCTACAGATTACAAAAATACAAACTAAGTTGGAAGTTCTCTTTTAAATTTTAAATAATATTGATTGTAATAAATATTATCCAATTAATCCAGCGGAGTTTAAAGGCAGAATCCGTGGGGATGTAAAGCTACAGAATTTTATGTATTTAGATGCTTAAACGATTACATTACTATTGATCTTTCAGAAAACTAAATATTTTTGTCTCGTTCTCCCAGCGAGACCCGGGACTGGGTACTTTCCATGCCAGCCCCACTCGGCGTTAGTGGGTAGACGTAAAGCTGTATCACGAGCCGTAGTATTGTGTCTACATTGTTATATTATCATCGTAGGCAATTAGTGATCGGCTATATACAGTAC